AAGGTACTGAGTATGTGACTGTCCTGAGAATAAGGGGAACTTGGCTTCTTCAAAGAACTGAAACATCACCTGCAGTCCTGGGAGCAGGAACACAGGGATACAAGTCAAGGTCAAACCATGCATTGGGTATCATGGTCATGGCCCTGTTTTTATCTTAAGAGTCCAGGAAAGCCTTGGAAAGTTTTGTATCCAATTTTCTCTATATCCCTGAGTGGCAACACTGCATATCCACTTGCATTAGTCAGATTCCTGCAAGTCATTCCCGATACTTCCCTCTCTCTGACATGTCATATTGAACTCAACAACATGTCCTGTCAACCTCATGTCTTAATATTCTCTTCAATCCTTCCACCCTTCCACATGGCTCTGCCTGCATTGACCCTCCCTTGCTGAAAAGCTTCTTGGCTGGCTTCCTGCTTTCCCTGGACCCCTCCGTCTAGCCTGCACAACAGCCAAGTGATTTTTTAAACATGCAGCTGTGATCATATGTATTCCAATGTTCAAAACCCTTTGGTGGCTTCCCATTGTTCTTGGATTTAGGAACAAAATCCTGACCATGACCTACGAGATCCTGTAAGACTTGACTTCCCTAACTCTCATTTGCTTTCCAGCCACCTTGATCTTCCTTCATGGCTAGAGCACAGGATACCTGGCACAGGGCTTTTGCAAATGCCATCCACTCAACTATACATGTGTCTTCCCCTTCATTTCCTTATGAATTTTGTCCTATTCAACTACTTTATTATTTCTCTTTTTAAATCTCAGCACATGTCTCCCTTCCTTAGGAACCTTCCCTCACCCAGTCGATAAACATTTGTTACAGCTTCCGAGAGGACCATCTTCCTTCCTTCCTGAGCAAGTCTCTCAAAACATAATTACAGATTTATATAAGATTATTTGATGATTCTTTGTATCTCCCATTTACTTGTGAGCTCCAAGATTGTTCAGTACTTAAATTGTGTGATGGTTTTATGAGTATATGCATATGTTAAAATTCTTCAAGTGTATGCTTTAAATTCATGCAGTTTATTGTACATCAATTATGCTTCAGTATAAAGATTAGAAAACTATTCACATGCTGTGAATCAATAAAGTGTCCATTTGGGCCAATAAGGGTATTGCTACATTTTGAAGGCTTTTTTTTTTTTTTACAATATCCATTAGCATTTTTAAAAATGCCCTTTGATCTTACAATTCAATTTTTGGAAATCTTTTATAAAAATATTAAATAAAAATATTTATATACAAATATTAGTGCACGTGTTTATACATACAAGCATGTTATTGCAGAATCCTTTGAAAAACTGAAAAAATAGAAACAATGTGAAAGTCCATCCATAGGGAAATTATTAGATATTGAATAGCTTTTTAAAGATTTCTGTCTCTTTATCTAAACTAAACGTCATGAGAAATTATTCAATAAGACAGTCAAGCTGCAGAGTAAATCATTTACCTAACCCCCCCGCCCCATGTGTGATTTTGTTTGGAAATGTTTGAACAGACAGGGACAATATTGATGCTGATATGGCTTGTTTGGGAATAATGGAATTAGTGTGGGAGATTGTTAACTTTTAAAAGTATACACAAATTTCCATATTCTCCTCATTTTTCCCTCTCACATGGTAAGCATATGCCACTTTAATAATTTTTGAATGTGAATTTTGAAGAAAACATTTTGCCAATTAGTACACATTAAAAAGTAATTCCTGTCACCTAGGAAATGGGTTGTTAGGTGAAGCAAACCACCATGGCACACGTTTACCTACATAAGAAACCTGCACTTTCTGCACACGTATCCTAGAACACAAAATAAAATTAAATATGGCACACGTTTATCTATATAACAAACCTGCACATCCTGCACACATATCCCAGAACACAAAAGCAAATTAAATATGGCACATGTTTATCTATATAACAAACCTGCACATCCTGCACGTGTATCCCAGAACACAAAATAAAATTAAATTTTTAAAAAAGAAAGTTAATTCCTCTCACTCTCAAAATAAATACAAAAGCAAATCAGTCACACAGACTCTTGTTCAAGTTTGGCTCCAGCATTATCCAACTGGGCGATCTTGTCAGATTCACAATTGCATCATTTCAAAAGGGAATAATCATATCTAATATTTGTACTAAATATGAGGAGTCAGTGAAGTAACATTTATGCAGGACCAAGCATGGACGGTGTCCTAACGATATCTTTTTTTTTTTTAAGAAAGGTAGGTAGGTTTGAAGGATTATAGGGCTATCTTTGAATGTCAAGCATTGCCACAGTCTGAGTTTTGGTTTAAGCTTTCTTCTGTCATTGAAATGCCCTTCCTTCTCCTTGTCCATGTCTTCAAATCCTTTATCATCCATCAAGTCATGGATCAAATATTATCACATCAGAGAAATCTTTCCAGATTCCGAGGGAGCATGAATAGTTCTTTGTGCTGGTTCCAATGTTCCCATGTCTGTGCCTTTGTTATGCTGTACCATGTTGAGTATGTTTAGTTGGTTATGCACTCATATCTTCTACATCAAGACTGTGAGCTACTTGAGAACAAAAATCATGGGATATTCAACTTTGTATCCTCGCTAGCTTGCCGTTGGGTAGAAGCTCTAAGACATAAATTTCTTCACTTCTTGCAAAATACAAGAAACATTTACAGAACAGCTGCTCTCTGCTAGACACTGTTCTAATTGCTCACTATGGCACCAGGAACATTGAACAAAAGAGGTCAAATTCTTGCCTCGTGGAGCTTACATTCTAATAAAGGTAGGCAGAAAAAGGAATGAAATAAATCAAGTTTTAATATTGTGTTAAAAGATAAATATGATGAAGGAAAAATTAAGCAGCCAAAGAAGCTAGACATATTAGGGCAGAAGATGCAGTTTTAAATAAAGTGATCAATGAAGGCTTCACTGAGAATGTGATATTTAGGAGAAGACCTTAAAAAATAAAGGAGCAAGCCATGTGGCCATCTTGGAAAAGACTAATTTAGGCACAGGGACGAGCAAATTTAAGGCCCTATAAAAAGAACACACTTGTACTTTTTAAAGACTGATAAGGATCCCAATATGGCTGGAATAAAAAGAGAAAAATAATGAGTAGGAGAAGGGAAGGGAAGTGAATAGCTCAGGTAGGATTTTTACCACCATTGTAAAGAAATTTTAAAATGTAGATTTTTGCTTCAAATGCGATGGGAAATGACAGAAGGAATTGATCTGATTTGAATTTTATTTAAATAGAATTACTCTATCTACTCAGCATTTCTGTAAAAAGCAAGGTGTAAATTCCCTGAAGCACTTGAGTCATGATAGAAAGTTTGGGACTGGGGGCAAAATAGTGATGATGTAGACTGTGTCCTCAGCGTGTCAAAGGGGAATGCCCTGCTGGGAGTCAGACACACCTGGCTGGAGCTCCCATGTAGTGTCTACCAGTTTTGGTATCTTAGGCATGATACAAATCAGCCTCCCTGAGCCTCAGTTTCTTCACCTGCCATATGAAGAAGACAGTGCCTCACTAATCATTCCAATCACTTTGCAATTATGAGGTTACAAGGAGATGATAGTGTGAAAGGGTGGCATTAGAAAAATTCTATGCAGATGAAAGAGATTCTTGATCTTTAAGAACAGGTGTACTGTTAGCTGCAAACATGGGTCTTACTGGAGGGTAGGGAAAGAAGGCAATGAAGTGGAGGAAAAGGAAACGCACATTGTAAAGCAGTTGGGAAATCTTCAAAATCTTTATAGATCATTGGAGATCTTGGTCGGCTACCTGTTAGCAATTTACGAAATCCAGTATTGATATGGCACTTTCCCAACCCCCAAAATAAAAAAGTGATTTCAAAATATGCAATAGACAAGTGAAGATAAAGGCAGAAAATTTCTGGTAGAGTGCGTTTCTTACATATGGGTAGTGTATTAATTAATATAGTTGTAATAAATGTGTTATTCAGGTACAAATCAGCGAGTCAATATCTGAAAAGAGATTTTGCAGCCAGATCTGGTGGGGAGAAGCAGTCTGTGTGCCAGATACTGAATATAATAGACATTTTAGGTAATTTAGTTAAGTGGAGTGTGATAGTTGAAATGGACACGATCCATAGCAAATGCATAGTGTGAATTGTCTGAATTTATTGTAGAAAGTAACATGCATTTTTCAACATTTTATAGGCATTCACTCTTGATTTATCTACCTGTATTATTAAAATTCTTTGTGGTGCATGCAGACCTCTTCTAGCTAAGACCTCTTCAGGAAGATAGACAAACAAAAGATTTATTAAAAATACACTTGAGTTGCTTTCAGAATTTATGTGTTTGGGAAGGACAAAACCAAGTTTTGTTCAGTAGAAGCAGTACGCTTTATTCTAGACTGCAGCAGTGCTTTAATTGGCATCTTGCTCTATGATAAGATTTCAGCCTTGTCTTACTGTCCACATTAAATAACTCTGGGAGACTGCTGTATTTCCAGCTCTGCTAGGTCATATTTTACTTCTGATGAGCGGGCAAGAACCACAGACATAACTACAGAGAATCCACCTCTGTGGTATAAGGTGGTGGCATGAAAGGGCTGCACTGAACATTTCAAGGACTCTTCCATCCCTGATACTGCTATTCTATGAGCATGATAGAGACTCCGTGGGAAGGCAATGATTTTATTAATTTAAAGAAGGTCAGTTTTTAACTTTACTAGCACAGGAGAGTGGGCTCAGATCGTTTTAAAATACTTTCCAGAAAAGATGTGTAAAACTTTTAACTCTGGAACTGCATACATTGTTAGGAGTTGAGAGCTTGTTTTGAGGTCAGGTTTTAATCCTCTTTCTGTCACTTACTGGCTCTGTGAATTTGAACTTGCTACATTATCTGGGGTTTAGTCTTCTTATTTTGAACCATTCTTTGGTTATCCGGTTGAATATACAAATATATAAATATTCACCAGGACATATAAATATTTTTACATCATTGAAACTTTAAACATGCCCAGAAGAAATTACTAACAGCAGCACAAATCTTCTCCATCAACTATGTGATCCCAAAGCTCACATTTATTCTAACTTTCTAGAAGCAAAAATGCAGTAGGAGTGTTCAAAATGAGTTTTGTTTGGTTGAAGCAAGAGCCTGAATCCTGAGAACTCGCTGGGAGTTGCTCTGTCCTGGAGGACTTGTGAAGCAGAACTGGAAAAGCAGGATTTGGCTGCTCTTGGATTGTCCAGGAGCCACAAAGGTGTGTCCTTTGAAACACAAGCCAAAGAGAGGAAAACAATTACCAAGTAGAGAGGGTTTAAGACTTTAAACAAACCAAAGAACACGTAACCCTTTTCTTAAATTTTTTTTTACTTCTGCATTTAAAAATAGAAGAGGTTTCATAATAAAATCAACTATAATACATAGCTGAGGAAATAAGCAACGACAATGATGAAAAGAAAAATTCAAGGTATATAGAGAATCAGAAACAAAGATGAAGGGAGAATGTACATTGAATAAACCAGCTTCACTGAGTTTCTGGATATATAGGTGATGAAAAAGAAAAGACCAAGTCACATAAATCTTAGAAGCAGAAAAGAGGAATCTGATTTATTTCTGAATGAAAAATTTTCCGTCAGACCCCATGAAAGGGTTACCAAGTGACATTGTGGCCAAGGGCAATTTTGCTCATCAGGTGCGTTTTTGGAATTCCCTGTCTTACTTACTTATTCCTAGATCTCTCCCTAGGAAGTTTTAACTGAGCAAGTCCAAAAATAAAAATCTAGTGTATCCTATAGTAGATTTTGTCTTAATCCAAAACATGTATAGAAATTAAGAATTCATAAAGTGACTATTACCTCTTTTGATAATTTTAGTAATCTAGTGAGTTTCATCCAATTTTGTTTTTATGCAGGAAAAAAATTTATATTTAAAATATCAAATGACTTAAAAAACAAAGAAAGGTGACTTGAATTCATGTGGTTTTAAACAATGCAGAACAAGTGGAGTTGAAATTTTAAGTCTATTGAAAATATTAAGTCCAGTAAAAACCACGCTAATGTTATTAAGTAGAGGTTGAGAAGTTCTCAGATTAATTAGGTATTCAATTACTGGATATTTTTCCAAATACTGTACCTCTCCACTCATCATATCAGATTGTGTGTAGAATCTTTTCTCTCAAATTTCACCTTATTTGTAGAGCATTCATAATGCTTATCCCTTCCTCTAGGTATTCCTTCTTATCTTCTTTTCCAAGGCATTCCCCAGGCCCCTTTATATATAACTTTTTCATTTCCTTACACAGTTATGAGATACACAGAGCTACGTGATTGCTGAGTCCATAGACTTCTCAATGGCCAGCTAATTATTCATTTTAGCAGCATTAGCTGATTGACGTGGTAGGTATGGATTAAAGAAACATTAAAGAAATGTGTAAAAAAAGGAGGTTATCAATGTTAATAAGATAAACATAAATTATCTATCTATCCATCTATCTATCTATCTTAATTTAGGAAATGCCTGCCCAGCACAGTGGCTCATGCCTGTAATCCCAGCACTTTAGGAGGCTGAGGCGGGCAGATCACTTAGGCCAGGAGTTTGACACCAGCCTGGGCTGCATGTGAAACCTGTCTCTACCAAAAATACAAAAATTAGCTAGGGGTGTTAATGCACACTTGTAATCCCAGCTACTTGGGAGGCTGAGACAGGAGAATCGCTTGAACCTGGGGGGAGAAGGTTGAAGTGAGCCGAGATCTTGCCACTGCCCTCCAGCCCAGGGAACAGAATGAGGCTCTGTCTCAAAAAAAAAAAAAAGGAAATGCCTAGACCTTTGGTCAAATTTTCTAAACTAGAGAAAGACATTGCTTGCTGTGAATCAATTAATTTTAAAGTGATGACTTGCTTTTGCTTTTAATTGAATAAGGCAATTATTACACAAATACAACCGTAAGAGCTACTTACTAAATACACGTTCACTGGGGTGAACTTCTGTTTTTATAGTTCAATATTCATTTTCAGGAGAGACCTGAGTAGGGAAAGATAAGTATTTTTGAGCACTCAAACTATATTGTTTGTCCATAAATCCAACTGCATGAGATAGAGTTTGTTATCCTTTTTGTTTGAATTAGGTTCAGCAAACTTCATTCTTCTCAGGAGCAACTAGCTGCATGATCACATGGGTCCCTAGATTGTTAGTGCGTACTAACCCCTCATTTCACAGGCTGAACTTGTTCAAAGCAAGCTCCTAGCAGTTGTGACAGGAGCCAAGTTTCCAATCCTGCCATGCTAATTCACTTCATCTCACAGTTGTGCCTTCTCTCTTAAGAAAATTGTATTGTCAGAAACTTTTACGTGATAAAAATACATTCACTTAAAATTGATTTTAAAAAATGACAGCAAGAATTTTTTTAAAATGTACCTTTTCTGCTTGTAGACAGACATGGGTACCAAAATTATTAAATACAACTAGACAGATCCTTTTTCCTTTGTCCAGTACACTGCTATTTCAGTTGTAAATTTTAAGTTAAAAAATCACCTGAGGATGTCACTTTGATGAATGCTTTCCTTGATTATCATCAAATTCCACAAATCCTCTTGAAAAAAAAAAAGAGAAAATAAGAATTATGATTCAGACTGAACAGGAGTGTTAGAATGATCACTAAGGTGTTGTATGACGTTTGAACCATACTGTTCTTCTCTAGATTTTTCTATGTCAGAAAGAAATAAGACCTACAATTTCCATAAAAGTTCATAGTAGACAAGCAATTTATGCATAATTATCTTTTTGCATCTGCCAACAAACCCATTCGTTAGGTATCTGTTCACACATAAACTCCATAAAGGCATATATTTTTGTATTTTTTTTCGGTAATATATTCCCAGGGCCTAGAACAGTGCATGGCAAATAGTAGAAATTAATAAATATTTGTCGAATGCATTTTTATTATCTCCTTTTATGTGTGAGAAAACCTTTGAAGCTCAAAGATTAAACAACCTGTCCAAAGCACATTGCTGGTACATTACAAAGAAAAGTTAAAAACTTGGCTCTCCAGAGTAATTAATAAATGCTAGAAACACTATGCACTATGGCTCAAGGACTGGGTAGCAGGGTATCTGCTGAGATGGTAAAAGAGAACCAAAATATCGTTTGTGAATCATAGTCTAGTGGAGAAAACAGACACCTCAGATACAAGAAATTTAAAACAATGTGGGGGATAAAAGTTGTTATGAAGATGTCTGCAAAACATTATGAAATCCCTGAATATGAAAAATGGAAATTACTACTAGTAAGTGTCTATGACTTTTTTTGAGTTTGTTTTCCAATTGGGCTTTAGAAAATGATTAGGCTTGCCAAGTGAACAGAGTGGGGTTTTGGCTTGGGTGCTAGGCATTTTCAGCAGAGGGAAAAATCACATGCACAGATATTGGGGGGTTATACAAACATGATCTCTTCTGAGATGAAACTCATTTGTCATTGGGGCTTCAGGTTGCAGGGGTAAGGAATGTGACTGAAAGATACATTGGCAGCAGAGAAGGACCTTTGACATTAGCCTAACGCATTCGCTTGGGTTTTGGAGGCCATGGAAATTCATGAAAAACTTTCAAGACTGGCAATGATATGACCAAATTTACATTTTTTTGATATAAAGTTTTGGTAGTAGGTAGAAGATGAATTGGCGAGACGGAAAGAAAGTGGAACTTATTAGAAATTCAATAAAAAGAGAGACAGAAAAAGGTGCAACTTATTCAAAATCCAATAAAAATAACTTGGGAAGAGATGATGAAGGACTCAACTTGACCAGCTAGTCAAGCTGAGGAAGAGAAATGTACATAGGTTACATATACAGATACCTGAGGAAGGTATATAGGGTAGAGTATTCAGCAATTCAATGAAGGTGATGATGAGCAGGAAAGATTTTAAAAGATCCTTAGGTTTTTGGATTTTGTGTGGTTGATGATGTGACTTAGATATGGAGGACGGTTTTGAGTGAGATGATGGACTTGGGTTTAGACCAGTCGAATTTGAAATATTGGTAGGAAAACGATGGAGATTCATTGCAAGCAATCAGTTATTTCATTTGATGGTCAAGAACAAATTGCAACAGGAATGTGAATTTGAAACTCATTCGATTACAGGCAGTCCTCCCAATGCGTAAGCTGCAATGTGAAAAACCAAGCACATTTGGAATCCTGAGGAACAATGACATTGGGAGGGCAGGTGCATGAAGAAAATTCAAACGGAAAGAATGAGAAAGAATGGCTAGCAGTAGAGACAGAACCAGGGAAATATGTCATGGAACCAAGAGGGGAAAATATTCCCAAGAATTAAGGGCTCTCAAAGGGTGAGAGGAGTTAATAATATATATATTTTCCAGAAAAATGATGAGCCAAATGCAGTTGCTGTAGCTCCAAGATAATCCAAAAGCAAGTGGAGAGAACAATCTGGTCTATTCACTGTCCCAAAAGCATGTCTCTAGCATTTATTATGCATCTGACACACCACTTAGGCATCAGACATATTGGAATAAATAAAGCAAAATTCCCACCTTTATGAATCGTCATTACCTCTCTCATTTTCTCTTTCAAATCAATCTTGTTTGGTCATTCAAGGCCCAAATTACATCTTGCCTTTGCCATAAACACTTCCCTAAGCACACTGTCCCCACTGACAGCTCCTTTCGCTGGAAACTGCCTGTGATATTCAGCTGACATTTATCTTACTAGGCATTTTTAGTTATTGCACTGTGCATTGGCTTATGGTATTTCACCATAAGGACTGCAAATTATTTGAGGAGAAGGGATTGACCGTCTTGATTTTTCCTTCACAGTCATGTCCCCACTTCGTACGTATTAAATCCTTAGCAATACTTTCTGATGGTCTCCTCCTATCCCCCATTCCCTGTTTTGCTTGTGGTCTCCCCTTGAAAGGGGAGTTATAGGTATGTCAAGGGTCCTGACTTTGCCACCCGCTACATCGATCTCTTGAGCAGACATTGCTGTGTCTTTGAGCAAAGATCCTTCAGGATTCCTCAGTCAAATTGAGGTAGATGGGCTTTAGGTCTGATCCGCAAGATATCTTTCCTTAATTAATTCAAGTACCTGATACTATGTGCCAGATACTGTGCTCTTGCAACCAGCCAGACAGGTGATCTGGTCTCTACTCCCACTTAGCTACTGATGAAAAATAAATAAGTCATTTCAAATGGTAACAAATATTATAATGACACTATAACAAGGTACAGTGATAGAGAATAACAGGCAGTGGGAGTGGAAGAAGACAGTATTAATAAGAATGGTCATAGAATCGCTTTCTGAGAAAATGACTTTCAGATTAGCTGCAGGCCCAAGCATTAACCATGAGAAAATGACAGTATTTTAGGCAGGAGGGAGAGCAAGGGAGGAGAGCCTTAGATGCTAATACGTTCTAGCAACAGAAAGAAGACCATTTACCCAGAATATAATGAGGGAAGGGGAAACAGTAGATGAAGTGCCTTGTCTGAGCCCTAGAGCGGACAGCAACTCTTTAGCATATCAGAGAGTTGACTTTTATGGTGAACCCAGAGGAAAAAGTTCTATTTTATACTTGGAAAATTCCCTAGGGAAGGAATGAAAAGAACTATTAGCGCTCTAACTCCTTGCTTTGTTGTGTTAACATAACAATATTAATTCAATTGGAGCCTAATCTTTAGTTTGTATCTAATGGGTGGTGCTCCTGTTGTTGGCCTCTGACTTGCCTTCTTGTTTAAATTAACAATCTTGGAAAGGCAACAGTTGCAAAAGCAACCACAGTAGGATATGTAACAATTAAAAGAACACCTGTGAGTTTTAACAATTTGTGGAGCAGGATTGCATGACCCTGCCCAATCAGATGACAATCTATCCATTTAAGACCAGAGATTACAAAACCCGTAATTACTCCTATATGGAAGTGGTTTCTAATCTGCTATTGGTTAAAGACTCCTTTGAGAATCTAACAGAAGTCATGAACACTTTCCCCAGGAAAATGCGAGAAAAAAAAATCACATTGACAAAAATATTGATAAAAATGTAAAGGCTTTGTGGAACTTTAAAGCTGGTCTATGCAGCCCAGGACATCTGATCAAGGGCATGGCTTTCAAAAATTTCTGTCTACCAGAATTACCTGAAAAGCCTGTTGAAAGACATATCCATGGCTTTGTCCCCAGAAAGGTGCAAAATGGGTTGCATTTTAAAAAATAAATTCCCCCAAGGGATTCTGAAACAGGTGGATAGACCACACCTAGTCAAACTCTGCTTAAGGATCTATAAAGGAGAAAATTAGAGAGCAGAGGCTCAGAGTGGTAGAGATTGAAAGCACCTGGGAGTTCAGAAGACTGAATTTCACCCTGGAGCACTGAAATTGGGAAGATTAATATGGGGAGGATAAAGCATATGGTGAGGTAGTGTTAAATCAGAACTATGTTGGCAGAAAAAAATATGTTTTGGGAATTAGACACAGGCTTGGAAGCAGGCTGAGAACACTGGGAAGACTCTGGGACTGGTGATCTATCCTAAGGCAATCCCTCATGATGAAAACCAACACTCATGCTGAGAGGTTCTCTAGATTGCCTCTAAAGAGATTGTCTGCTGTCTCTGCTAGCCTTCTTGAGCTACTCAAGCTGGAAAATATAGGCAGGACTCATCACACCCATCGTGAATGAATGTATCATTACCTCTTACCTGCATCACATAATCACAGGTGCTGCGTGGGGTGAGCCATCTATTATTTCAACTTTACAGTTAAAATGTGAGCAAATAGAGGCCTTCAGAGTGGGAGGGCCTCGTTCAAGACCACCTAGTAAAACAGTACCTGAGTTAGGATCAGAGCTTGGCTTTTTGTTCTTCAGTGCTTTTCCTCTTTCCTATTTAGTCTTGAGATTAAAAAAAAAAAAAATTCTGATGGAACCACTTGATGAGGGTGTGCTTATCCCCAGAAAGTTCAGGGCAATTAATTCAGATGCAAAATATATCTTCAGTAGGGCAACATTTTTCAATGAAAAATAACACATTTGCTTGTGCCACAAATTTCGTTTCTCATATATTTTAATGCCATGTGGTCGTTGTGTGGTCATTACCAACATTGAACTTGACAAAAAACAAGGTTTGTCTCAGTGCTTACCCGCTCCTGGACATGGAGCGGAGGATGAACTCGACTGCATTCTCAATGATCTCTGTACCCAGGAGATTTAGGAATTTGGGGAAGTCTGGCTTTGGGTCTTTGCCTGACTCGTCTGGCTTGTCGTCTGGCTTGTCTGGTTTGTCATCTGAAAAACAGAACAGAATCTCAGAGGTGATTCTCAGCAACAAAGAAGGAAGTCTCCTTTCCGTGTGGGGAAGCCTTAGGATTTTTTCTGGCCCACTTACGAATTTCATAGCCTTATATGAGTATATTCCTCAAACATTTCATGCTTGTCTGGTTAAAATCTTCACATACATTATCTCATTTATTTCTAAAAACAAACAAATAAATCAATAGGTAGACACTGGCACTGCCTCGTGAGTGAGAAAACCAAAGCTCCCAGAGGCTAAGTACTTATCCCAGAGCTAAGCAGCTAGTAAGTGCCAGTGCCAGGACTGACATACAGAATGTCTGTTTTTCCATCTGATCTCCATGCCCATAGTAATAATAATATTAAAGAGAAATTATCAGCTGGGTGGGGTGGCTCATGCCTGTAATCCCAGCACTTTGGGAGGGTGAGATGGGAGGATTGCTTGAGGCCAGGAGTTTGAGAGCAGCCTGGATAACATAACGAGTCTTCCATCTCTACAAAAAGTAAAAAGTAGCCAGGTGGGGTGCTGCACACCTGTAAGCCCAGCTACTTGGGAGGTGAAGGCAGGAGGATCACTTAAGCCCAGAAGACAGAAGCTGCAGTGAGCCATGATCGTTTAACTGCACTCCAAGGGCCTGGGTGACAGAGTGAGACCCTGTCTCTAAGAAATACAATAAATAAATAAAAATGAAATATCAATGAGTAGCATTTGCTGAGTACATG